GGGCGGGTAGCAGTTTCCCAAAAAGCATCCACATTGTTTTCCACGTCTGACCCGGCTCTCACAATGATACGCATGCAGGTACCATAGAAACATGCCTCTACAAGGTGCCAATGGCTGTATTTGCTGGGGAGAAGCGGGGGGGAGCGTAGGCTGTTTCTTATCGAGAAAAAGGAAAGCGAGAGAAATGGGGAAAGCAGGGACGGCTTCAGTCTCCTATGCTCACGCTAAAAGGCGCGGAACCGGGGCGTGGGTGGATAAACTTGAGGGGATTCCTAATGGCAACCGAAACAATAGTCCGGGCTGGAGGGGAGGGGGGACAAGCCTCTGCGTGTACAAAACAGTGGCTTATCCTCTAACCAGCCCTGAGGTGCCTGGGGTGGGTTCGCCCTTGACAGGCGGGCGGACACGCCCTGTCACAGAAGGATAACAAGGAAACAGGGAGGATGCAATGGCACCTGTTGTATGACCTCTCCCTTGCAACCACTCTGTCTCCCCTTCGCTCTTTCTCGCTCTGTTTGAGACTAAATTCGCAAAATTTACGCCCGAGGCGCCAACCCCCTCCCCTGCCGCCCACCTCCTCCATCCACCAGTTCTGCCACCGCTACGACCATTGAAGGCGGGACAAGAGGTGGACGGGGATTAGAGGCCAACGCTGTCATTAGTTGAGAGGGCGTGTACCAACGAAGGCGGGAAAGGCTGGAGAAGTCGCCCTCTCTCCGACATCCCTGCCTTCCTCGGGAGGTCACACACCCGCACGCACGCACGCCTCACGCTCCGCCGCCCAAAAGAAAGAAGCTTCGGTAACCACCGCTGTCAGGGCTACCTTGGGCCAGGGATTGCCGCCTACTCGAGAGGACGCCCATGCCTCCTGTGTCTTAGACGCAAGCCGTAGTCAGGAGGGCGGGCAGCATGTCGACAGAGGTGGTCGTCAGGTCTTAACGGACATCGGCAAAGTGGTAGAATCGGGTCTAGAATAGAGCCCACAGGTATTGTTTACTTGTGCTGTAAATACCTGTCTGCAAAGTGCAGTCCGTTCTAGTCCGCGCACTGATGATAATGCGGAGCGATGGAGTCGCAAACGTTAATAAACATTTCCTTTGGTATTTGAGTGCGTTCTTCTCCAAACTCGGCGGCGGCTGCTGCTGTTTTGTAGCAAAGACTTTGTCTTTTAAGCATCCTAATTAAAATATCTGGGGGTGGGAAGTTTGACAAATGAGGAGGATTTTCATGAAAATCGCCCCGTCCAATCCACCTGCCTGGCAAGATCTCTTCAAGCTAGGATCGTACACCACGATGGCTGTGTGAGGCGGCTTCCTCTTGCTGACATCATTGTAATCTACAACAGACGACTCAGCCTTGTACGATGAAACACCAAACCGAAATAATCGTGTCGCATTAAAACCCACTTAATTAAGTATAGCAGGTATTCTTTGCCTGACACAGATGTTGGGGGCCTTAACTCGATTCTTACTGACTTCAGTGCGTTAAGTCTGAGAAGAAAGAAACATTGATTCAGCCATCCGCGGTTTAAATGTGTATGCGTCTTTGGTAGAGCCCGTAGAAGCGGCGCTCCACACGGGTTTATGGTGAAGTGTTTATGAGCTTACTACTGAGAGTTCGATTCGAAACAACCGACAGTTTGACCGCCGTGCCAGACGATGTCCACTGTGTACTTTATTGGAAGGTGAGGCAGGTACGGTGACTTGCGCGTGGAGAGAGAGAGTTGTTCTATGAAAAGGCAAAAACGAGGTATGTTTAACGATGAAACTGCGATTCCAAGGTGGGGAGGGTGAGGGGGAGGCTATTTATTGTCTGCATTCCGTGTAACGAAATCGGCTACCAGATGTCAGACCGCGACATTCTACGCAAGCAGTTAACTGGTAGAAAGCTTTTTTTTAAAGTGCTTCTTCCAGAGAATCATCATCTCAGAGCGTGGGACACGTTCCGCTCTTAAGGTTTTCGCTTTGCAGACTTTCCAGAAGTTTGCCTGGATCTCCGTTTCAGAGGTTGGCTTGCCATGATTAGAAACCTCTTAGTAGTTCCAGATGTGTTCGCCTGGTTCGGGAGTTTCCAAACGTACCACACTGGAGACAAGGGACGGAATACAAAATTGCTTCCTGTATGAAGGAATACTCACAAAAAACACGGGAGATTGGAGGCCGTTTCTGACCTATATGCCCTCCTCAGCCAACCACAACCGCTTCTGATTCGAATAACCTGGAATTCACGCCTAGACTTCTTGGTCGTTGGAGATTATTAAGTCTAGCCGGGAGCCCGCTGTCCTCTCAATAACGATCGGGCGTGTTAACTATCACCGAAAGGGTATTCGGCGATCGCAACTGGCAAGATAACAGACCCGTGGATCAAAGATTGAGCGTTGGACTTTAAAATGCTGCTCTAGGCTATCATAACTCAGAAACGGCTATCCTAATATTCCTTGCCGACGTCCGTACTTCTTTTTACATATACTACTGATCTCTATGCGGCTGCCCTCAAGGGCACTTGGTTGAGTCCCAAGCAAAAATTGGACGATCACGTCCGGTTACCAAACTGGCGTACGCCGAGCCCATGATATTTATTCCTGTACAACAGCGTGCCAACCATGGCAACATGTTAAAGTCGCCCTTTTCTGGAAAAATCCCTTTAAGACATAAATATAGTGTACCTCCAAATATGAGATTAAAGCACGAAATAAGTCCGCGCAAAATTACTTTATGAAATGACTTTTCTTTCATTCTTTCTAGAAAAAGACGGGGGATTTATGTAAATATTGAAGAACATGGAGGGGAGGTGGAATTACATTACTTCATAGGCAAAGTTTTCAGGGCAAGAGAGTTTCAGGTGACCGGGGCGTTTCTGTTGGAAAACCAACATGCCACGACGTAGGAAGCAGCCTGCCATGAGCTGCCCCATCAGCGATTACTGCTACCCCGCCTAATTTATATCTTACCTTTTTAAAAGCACTTTTAAAACGTTGTCAATTATTTGCTTTTGTCTTAATCTGTCTCTACAGTCGTCGTTATTGGCACCACATTGAAGCTACTTACGTGGGCGTAGCATTTGTCGATCGGCAGGACAGAATAAAAGTGCTTCGAGGGACTTAGGAACTTTTGTCAAAGACGCGCTGGGCCAGTCTACAGTGACGGGCAATAGCCACTCAAACAGTTTTTCCGACGGAGAAGTAGATGAGAACAGAGTGAAGGTCATAGCTTTCCGAGATGGGATTGGTTCTTCCCCAAACTCCCCCTTTCTAGTTACTTTGCAAAAATCCGCATCGTTCCTGCAGTTTCTTTTGCCTTAATAGACAGCATATCACAGAAATAAGAACTGGTCAAGAGGAATGACTGCGAAAATATCTTTTTTCTAGTAGGGTAGTGCTCGCCGATTTAATTGCCGCTCTAAACTCCAGCCTAATGCCTAAAGTTGTGGTGTCATAGCAACGAGCACGTCCTCACTGATAAGCCGTACTGAAAAGGTAAGTAGGACTGGACTAACCGTTTACGGCCCACTTGACATCATCATAATCATCATCATTATCGTCTTCGTCGTCGTCTTCATCATTAATGTCGTCGGCAGCAGGAACACCATCCGCGCGACGACGACGACGACGACGACGACGACCACCATCATCATCGTCATCATCACAACCCTCCATAATCTGCGCCACTGTCAGCTCCAGCACCATCACCGTCATTACCTACCAGCCCCAAGCCAGGCTGACCCCTGCCTTAAAACCGAGCTTAGGTGACCATTTCGAAAACGCTGTGACAATGAATCATTGGCGCAGATTCTGTCAACTACGATGGATAATGCTCAGTTTGAGAGAAGAAGATGCGATCACTTGAATGAGAAGTTCACTGGCCTGACGTTTCGGACTCTCACTCGAACCCATCATCAGAGATGGCTGCATTAAAAGGTAGTGGATGCACAAAGACCGCAGTATTTATAATATGTAGCTGCCGTGGGGCCACATGTGTACTATAACTAACGGCTCTCGCGATCACCGCTGGTGGTTGTAATTAAGCTCATGATGGCTCGTCAGTCCGTGTCCGAGCCCTTAACTGCCGCAGTTTCATCCTCCGTGTTGTTTGTTGGCGTTAAGGTTACTCGGCAATTTGGTCCGCTGTCACTGAGATTGTTGTTTGTCCGCGCCCTCCCCACGTGACTGATTCCCCTGCTCAGGAAATGTCTCAGCACCGAGAGGTCATTGCGCTTGTTGATGTTGTTGCGGGTTTGAGAACCATGATTCGAGCAGTTCGCGGATTATGCGGTTTTCACCCCATGCGAGGATTTCGACCTCTAGAAACTTAAAAATATGGCCGGGTTCGGCGGAATGAGCCGCCACCTGAGAGCTGGCATATTTCCTACTCACAGCTGCTGCGTGCTCGGCCATGCACGTCCGGAGTAATCTTCAAATTTCTCAATTTCCTGAAAGGCTGACTTACATGTACCCATCTCGATGGGGCCTGAGTTACCATCTGGGGTCTACTCGGTTTGAGAATGGGTTATGACTATATGATGCGGGTAAGAAATGACAAGTATCTATCTTTCAACCGCCATCAGTCGCCAACCCTCCTTGTTACCCCCCGGCCTGCCTGTTCTAATAAAATGAATCAACAACTCAGAGCAGGACGTGGAGGGTGCGCTTTAGTTATACTAAAGGCGGATTTTGCCAAGTTATAGAGGAAAAAATCCTTCTTGAACGATCACTTTTCACTAATTTGTCGCCAGTTCAATGCATTGGGGTTGACATTCAGTTTAGCTGACTGCACGATTTCTTCATTGAGGAGTGCCCTCTTTAACCATAAAACACCCCTTTCCGAACTCACTCTATTTGATATAAAAGAAAAAACTGAGTGGCACGCTGCCATTAACCGTAACAAGGCGAATGAGTCATTTCGTGCTAAATTCACTTTGTGGATTGTCTGACCGTTGTGGAGGTCCTTCGGCCTGTAATATCGCCAGATCAAAGCCTTTCACAGAGGAAATGATACGTCAGGTTGCAAAAGCTTCTAATGAACCGGAAAAATGTCAGAGAGCGGCGGAAGATATGCGAACTAAGACGGAAGACTCAGGAACCAGTACATTTGTCAAAGAGGGCTCCGGAAAAAGAGCTTTATTAGCTTGACGTTTCGGATTCTCACCCGAATCCATCATCAGAGACAGAGTCAGATGAGGGTGGTAAATTGCCCAGGTGTTGCAGTACTTATAGGATGTGGTTGCTAGGCTGCTACATGCCTATCGCAGTTGGCAGCTCCCGAGTGCATGCCAGCTCGACTGGCTGGATGCTAAAGCATGCAGTGCCGTGCTGTTGCTATGCCCTTGTGTGCCGGTCAAGATTATCGATTCCCACGCTCATCGCTCGCAGTCGAGTTGCTGACGGCCTGATTTCGTCATCCGTGTGGGCTCTCGGGCAATTTGGTCCGACGATATTGACACCAGGAACAGTGGTCATATGCGCGCTGTCCTCGCGATTAATAACTTTGCCTAGACAAAGTCTCAGCGCCGAATATGGAGCGAGGAGATCATAGCGCTTGTTGATTGACTGAGGACCGGAAAACCATGACTTGAGGAGTTCGCGGCTCTCGCGGTTGTCACCCCGAGAGAGGAAATACAACCGCCCCCAAATTTTGGCAAGCTCTCCCGTACGTGGAGAATGTCTCAGAAGCCGTCAACCGTCTTCTCACACTCCTTGGAATTGGGATATCACACAGACCGGAGGCAACCACAGGGCGCCAGATCATTAGGCCGAAAGACCCATTGCCACGGCAAGAAACATCTGGAGTTGTTTATCGTGTCTGATGCAGCTATGGGCAAGGCAACTATGTCGGAGAAACCGGAAGACTGCTGCGGACGCGTATGGCCGAGCACGCAGCAGCGGTGAGGAGGAAAGGCCCTGTCTCCCAAGTCGCGGATCACTCTATGGGACCCAACCACACATTCAATTTTGACGAGGCAGAAATTCTTGCTTGAGGTGACAACCGCGAGAGCCGCGAACTTCTCACGCCATGGCTTTCCGGTTCTCAGTCAATCAGCAAGTGCAATGATCTCCCCGCTCCCTATTCGGCTCTGAGACTTTGTCTAGTCAAAGAAATTAACCGCGAGGGCAGCGCACGGATGACCACTGTTTCTTGTGTCAATATCGGCTAGCCAAATTGCCCAAGAGCCCACACGGATGACGAAGACTGGGCGTCAGCACCTCGACTGCGTGCTATGAGCGTGGGAATCGATAATCTTGACCGGCACACAGGGGCATAGCAACGGCACGACAACTGCATGCGTCAGCACCTGGCCAGTCGAGCCGTGATGCACTCGGGAGCTGCCAACTGTGATAGGCATGTAGCGGCCTAGCAACCATATCCTATAAGTACTGCAACACCTGGGCAATTTACCACCCTCATCTGACTCTGTCTCTGATGATGGATTCGTGTGAGAATCCGAAACGTCAGGCTAATAAAGCTCTTGTTCCAGCGATCGTGTCTCCTTCGCGACTATTTCCCGGGAACTCGCCTCTTTGCTTCTATTAGCAAAGAGGACTCTAATGTTCAGAGACAAAACGAAATTAGATGTTAAAGTAACAATATGATAAATGATGGAAATTTAGTGGGAGAACATATTAGGAAATGACTCGTTTAATGGCGGCTTAGTCAGCCCCGAATTTTTATGCGGTGGGAGAGGACACAAGGGCACAGAAAAGGCAGTAACCGTTTTCTGTGCTAACGGAGCATTTCTTAAGCCAAGTTCTGGGATAAGATGGGGGCAACAAGGTAGCAGGCGATGGCAAATCACAGTCATTGGATAGCGGCCGGCCAATGAGAATTCCACCTCCCCCGTCCCGGTCTTCCCACGCTCGGCGGAGTGGAATCTAGTTAGTTAGAGAGAAGTCGACATAAGTCGCAGGTACAGATTTCGTTCTGAGGAGTCGAGATACTGTAGCATTTGCCTGCGCAGAGTTTGTCTCCTGTAACACAGTTCGTCCCTCGGTTGCTCCTCTCGCAACTTGCGACTAGCGAGGTCGTGTAACAGTCCGCATTCATGATGACGGTGCCTACACTCCCAAAACAAAAACCAGCCAATCACTGGAGGCCACGCGCGTGTTTCTACAGCGCTGTCAGCTTAATCGTGGCACCTCTCCATTGGCTGCTACCCTCGAGTCTGATCGATCTGCGTATTCGCATTATCGATCAGCTCGTGCTAAATGTTCTTCCCGAAGGTCATTGGACCGAATGCCGGCGAATCGCAGTAGGACGTTGTAAATATGCGTTACTTCCAGTTTATATTGACTTGCATTTTTCTAATGTACTTTTCCGTGGTCGGCCTTTTTGTCCTTCTCTGCCGCGTTGGTACTGGGGACCAGAGTCAGGTACGCATACGCTCCCAAGTGCTTTCAAGTATCAGACTGGGTCATAACAATTTTAAACACTGTTTTACTGAAGGCCCTGTGATGAGCGGCAGGAAGCATTTTCTTACGGCCATCAAGGCGCAGCCTCAAATGCTTTAATGAACAGTTTCCGTTTACCGCACTTCAAACAGAAGAACTAAGGAAGAAACAACGCCACTCGTTCCAACGCTGCTTTTTGGTGTTGCGTGGGGCAGCTATGAGGAGTTGGGTTCATCAGCGGATCCTCCGACGTTCATAATGCAGTCGTTACCTTATTTGTTCGGTTCCAAATGTAACTCTAACAGCTGAGGAAGGAAACCGCTCACACAAATCTATTGCTATAGTCCTACCCTTTGGGGTAAACTCCGGAGACCGAAAATAATTCAGGCAAAGTAATGCACAAAACCCCTGGAACTGCTTCATATAATGGCACACATACGGCGGGCACTTAGAGCAATGAAGCATCTAAAGAAAACTCCTATTTACTATAAGGCAGGATTTATTGACCTTTAGGTGTCTCTGACGGAAGACTTGACCGGTAGTTGCTACCTTATTTTGCGTCTGCAGTCGGCTTTACCCCAAAGCCAGGCCGACGTAAACTTATGTCATTTGGTTATCAAGCATTCGAGTTAAAAGTTATACTTGGCGAGCTCTTGAAAATGAGCCGCCTTTTTCCGCTCTCCATTCACATGGAAATATTTTTATCTGTGCATCCGTTTACCTATTTTACTCCCTATGTACTGATTTTTCCCCTCCTTGTTTGTCTGAATCACAATAATGAGGTCATTTGAATAAAACACCAGCACCGTTTTAAAGGAAGTCAAAGTTGACGTGAATTTCGCAACTGACAGCGATTCTTCATGAGGTCGGCAATTGCGGTTTCCGGCAGATATCGCTCGTGATTTTCTGGTGTCATCTGTTTTGCGTGCCCATTTTATCCGCTGCGAATGGGGGCTTTTTGCTGAAAATTTTGGAACGATACTTCCAAAATAAAGTGTATATATATATATATATATATCTCGTACGAATAGGCGATGAAGTCGCGTGTTGTCGACTATAGTCAGCAATGTTCCCCTAAAACGGGTTACGCAGTAGATGCGCTGAACCATCACAGGGGCTAAATCAGATTCTGACAGACGTTATCGGTAATGCGTACCCATAACAAATGCCAACACTCGGGGTACGATGACAGGCCCAGTTGCCGGCTGGCATCGCGCTGTAGCGGCTGAGGACGTCAAGAGTAGCGCACATCCAAGCAGCCAAGCACTGGAAAGAGATCCTGACTAACGTTGATCTGAATAGGGTCGTGAGTA